TATATATATAATTAACCAGTCATTTGAGTTCAGATATATGTTAACTAGTCGATTTGACATACTCATTTATCTATATATTTATGAGTAAAATGCTTTCACAATGGTAATATTTCTGGAAGTTAGTACAATCCACCTAGTGTGTGTAACTGTTTCTTCAATACTATATAATAACCTAATTATCAAAATCATTTTACTGGGTTCAAAACAATGCCTTAAAAAAGCATTAAATTCATCATAATGAATGTTATGTGGAACGAAAATTTGGATAAAAATAATACGCTGAAACAAACAAAAATAACATTGAGAAAATAAAAAAGCTAACCGCAGAAACGACGAGCTGCTCGCCACTGTACGGATTCTCAACAACCATCGGGAGACCAAAATCAAAGTGTAAACTGAATGGCGGCTGAAAACTCATCCACTTATTGTGTTAATAGTGATGATAGCAGCAAACACTGATAAAACCTCATAATTGTTCTTCTCAAAACTATATTTTCTCAAATGCAAATCATTAAAAAGCCATTTTTGCTAACTCAATTAAATACATGCCAATTAATAAACTAAAAGCTAGCAAATAATGGATATATGTTTATGTGTCCAACGATCCCAATTATAAATATGTTACGATTATGAGAAAAAATAATCCTACGTAAAAAACAGGAATCAGCTAAAACTTTGACATCAGCAAATTTATATTTCATGTGAAGCTAACGTGAGGAAGAAGAAAGCATCATAAGACGTGCATTTTTAAGGTGCTTTTTTATTACAGAAAAATCTAACAGCTAACTGACATACTCATTTCAACCATATTTTTCCCAGCAGGAAATTTAATTTAGTAGAGTGGATTTTTGATCAAAAAAGAAGAAAACAAAGGCTTAAACAGAAAACAAAAAGACGAAACCAACTGGTTGAGGATTCAGCAAATTGGCAACAACTTTCAAGCCAGAAATGAGCGTTGGAGGTAAATCTTTGTTGGACAACATCTCAGTTACTATTCCACGTGCTTCGGTCAAGTTACTTTGCAACTGAAACCAAATACAGTACACTTTCCATGATGACTTTGAAAATGCCTCCTTGATTTTCCATGAAATTGTTTCTAGATGTGATGTCCAATAATGCGTATAAATATTACCTTTTAACATAGGCATTTATAACCTCCAAGTTCCAACATAATTAGCACAGATCTTTAACATAAACTTTAGGAATAAATCAGTTTTTATAATATTTGTACACACAAAACAACACGTGCGAAATGAAATGGCATATATAAATAGGCTAAAGTAATTCTGAAAAAATATTTGACAACAATTTTGTAAGTATTCATTAGAAATTTTGTCCTATGGAATAGTGCCTAGTAGAAATATGCAAAAAGGAGTAGTTAGTTCTAAGGATTAAAGCTTTATTCTATGTAGTTTTCATAAAAGTTAAGATAGAGGAAATGAACTAATAGTGTAGACTCAGTGCTACGATAGTCATGAATATATCAAGTTGACAGCGTTGAATTTGAACAGATTGAAGAGACGGAAATGTAGAAATGGTGCAAAAAATAATTTCATGCTTTCCTTTCAAAAAACCATATTTGGTAAATTCTTACTCAATTAACATACACTTTTTAAAACATTTGATAAGATTAATAGTCGAAAACAATTAAAATCGAAGTAGTAAAAACGTCTATTCATTTATCAACATTTCCTACTATGACAAACTTAAAAAGTAGCATGGTAATGAACCAAACATTAACTTGCCTCTTGTTAAATTCCTGAAAATTATGGATTCAAAATTTGTTAGCTGCTAGCAAATATGACAAATTTGTATTAAAATTGAATAAGAAGAAATGACTGAGGTGCATAACTTCTAAAATGGCGCTTTTAATTCAAGCAAACTTCTTTTCAAATAAATTCTACGAATAAACCAAAGATGGACCACTTCTAAAACTACTTTCGCATATAGAAAGAAATACTACATAAAAATGATTTAAGGTAAAAAAACTAAAAGTTCTTATTCTTGCATGCCTGAACTATAATATTTATATTATTCAATTAAAAAAAGTGAGTGCGAACGCTATGCTATCTATAAACTTTATTATTAGCATACAGTGGCTCTGCTAGCGGCGAAAGCATTTGAACTGATGGGAAGCGATGTTCGCCTCTGACGTAAGGTATTCACTTTGTGTAGGTCGAGTTCGCCGATTGTAGCCAGTCTGTTCAGCGCCGAAGAACTACCAAAATGACTTGTCTGTATTTCAGGCTGCACTAAAATGAATTCGTTTCTAGTACTCGTCAAATAGTCTCGCTCTCTAGAATTCAACTGACCAAAACAAACTAAAATTTTTCATATGTATTAATAATTTTTTTAATAATAAATCAATTTTATATGCATTTCATTGCTTATCTGATTACTATATCAGCGACCAAACAAATTTTGTAGGACTGATAAGAAAGTGATAAGTTCTTCAAAAACAAAAACTATTTATTTCCTATTTTCATTCACATTAAAATTGTTTATGATTGCACTTTTTTGCTTTCGAAGACATGCACTGCGTTCACCTTTTCTTAATGCCTTCAAGTTTCAACATAATTGGCAAAGATCTCTAATATAAACTTCAAAAACAAATCAGTCTTACTTTTAAAAAAAAGATTTTTAAGAAATTTGTTGGAAGTTTGTAAAGTGTTTGTTGAATACAATGAGTGTTGTGCTCATAGAATAAATGTGAAATATTCTTGAGCAATCAGAATATATTACAACTTGTTAAAATAACGAGCTACTCAACTAAACTTATTGTGTGCATAAATGAAATTGAGTAGTGAATGGCATGACAGAAATACAAATTTGAACCTGCAGAAATGGCAGAGTGATCAGGAGGTAGCCGAGAGGATACGTTCGTTCCCAGCAGATTGCCACTTCCGTCTGTAAGACGTCGAGTTCGACGCGTTTCCTGCAAAATTTACAGTTTTAGATCGTTGCAATTATATTGTGGTATTGCACCTATATCTTCAAAGATATCTTTAATATTTCACTCGTGAATTATTTAAGTAAATTATAAAGAAAATACTACAAGTTATGAGTAACTGAATATAAAAAATTATGTAAAAACGATTTTAAACAAATCGTATGAAATCATAGATTCGATATCAGGAATCGATGAAATAGATGAAATAAATGAAATGAAAGATGGAACACATATGGACAATGAAGAAACTGACTTATATTGATTGATTACGAAAATATGAAATTAAAATGGGAAAGTTCACTCAACAAGGGATGGCAGATGTTCCTGTCAAACAACAAACCACTTTACACCTTTTACCATTTAACATTTTCATTCTTCATCTCAAGAAATGGAATGAAAACAAAAATTTGTTGTAATACGAAATGCAAAAGCTTGACTCCAAATCATTCAAATTCACTTGGAAATTTGATTGACTGACTTGAAAAAATAACTTCGAATAATTAAAATCTTGCATTGATGCACTGCTCTTAACTTGATAATTATATTCATCACTATAATACAACGATAACAAGATCGGTTTTGTGTTCCTCTCATACGACACTAATTAAAGGTATTTCAAAAAAGTATTAAGTTTACCTTCCGGATATTCGAAAATATCCTTCAATTTGATGCTGGTATACAGTACAAAAAAACTACAACTATGGAATGAAAAGAAATTATCATTATTGAAGTTGAAATACCTTTAAAAATTACGTTTTTTTAGCAAACAATTTTGAAAACTTTTGGTTATTATGAAATTTCTCTGAAGTTTTTTACTTTATTTATGCATTTATCGTAATTTGAAACTTGCAAAAAATTTGTTAAGCTTTTACAGGCATTCATTAATTTACTTGATTTTAAACTGGTCTTGATGAAAAAGAGAAAGATAATAATGACTGAAGCAGGAACGTGAACTATGAATTAAATTGATGTGAAAAGTAGGTGGTGTGAGTGAATGTGCAGGTGAACAAACAAACTTTAAACGACAGTAAGACTTTTTAGACTGAAATTTTTGTAGTTAGTTTTCTAATATTTTAGAATTTTGAACAGTAGAACATTTGATTCGAAAGGGTGAAATATGAAAAAATATGAGGCAGCATACTGCAAAGGCAAACAGAGAGAGGTCAGTTAGCTAATCACTGTATGTAATGAAGAGCAGTAATCCTAGAAAGCTTTATTTTTGAGTTTCTGTATGCATGAGTAGACAATGAAATTAAAAATTAATTATAGTTTAATTTTTAATTTGTTTTCCAGCAATAAGTCAACAATGAAATATATTTTAAAAGCATGATGTTCCATCACTTTTGTCCAATTCGGTTTTAATCCAAACAATTTTCAACTCTGATGAAGCTATGTGAAGAATGTTGAAATGATAGCGTATAGTTGAACCGATTCATCCCAATGACATCATTTACAAGCAAACGATACGCTTCATTTACTTTCAAAGCGTCAAGAAAAAACTGACATAATAGTGACTGAAAATTTTCAGTTCATATTTGCAGAAATTTTGCACAATGCTTAAGCGCACAAGAAAAACTATATATTGACTATGCGTAGCGCAGTAAGTATATGCTTTTATAATTAATATTCTTAAATAAAGAATAATTATAAGTTTCACAGTACTGGATTAATGATTGTGTGAACTAGTGATTAATGAATGTGTGGTACTTTTTTATGGATAAATAAATAAATAGAGAGACAGTTGAAATGAGAAGAGCAAGTTAATAAAAGAGTGCAAGCAAGCGTCTATTTTTAATTAATTATATTTGATACGATCAATTAATCAATCAACCAATTTACTTATTTATCAATCAATCTATCTATCTATCTATCCATCTACCTACCTATTTACTATCTATTTACGTACTTAGTCCTCATTTGTTAACAATGCTTCTTAGACCAATTTTGTAATTTTGTTGGTAAACATCAAGTAATAGAGTCTGCTGCTGCACTTACTCTAAGCAATTAATTATTTTTGAAGACGAGGTGGATGTGCATTAATGACTTTTTTGAAAAGAGTGCCGCATTCGCCACAGCTTATGCCATTTCACTCCATCTTAGTCTATGTCATCTTTGCCTACTTCTCTACACTATCCTCGCTTGGTTTGGTTTTTTGTTCTGTCCATCAATGAAATGAATGGAGAGACGAGCGAGGTAAGTTGGACTAACTTCTCTTCAATGTTCCGTCTCATGATTTATGAACTGCCTATAGGGAGTAAGTTAACCTACAAGGCATACACACACACACATAATGATTTATAACACTCATAAGTTACGCACTAGGAAATCTAATTTGGCGGAAGATGTATATGATTAATTGAAACACTTACCTGGAAGGGGATGAAATCAAATTTGACTGTGAGCTCTAATGACGTGATGGCAAGGCTTCTTTTAGCTTGATGTAAGAGAATGAGCGAAATGCAAAAGGTGTTCTCAAGGGAACACAAAATGTATGCCATGGCCCGCCCATTACTTTTCTCAAGTTTTGCTCAGGCCAATTACTTTCGTGGCTGGATATAAGTCTAATACCTATCTGCTTATGACATTGTTACTTCTGCTATACAACCAGTGTACTTCTAAAACTAATTTCTATGTGAGCCTTCAAGCTGCGATATTTACCATTACTTACTGAAAGGTCTCAAAGCACACATATCAATGACAGGATGTTTCTTTCAGGTACTACTCACTTATTCCATTCCCTCATTTATTCACTGGTAAAATAAATGAGTTTACGAAAAAAAGTTTGCTAATTCTAATGGAACGACCCTTAAATTATTGGACATCTAGCGAAGATTACGTTTTGACTCCGCCATAACTTTTTTGTATCAATGGAGCTACTCAACAGCAAAAAGTGCTTAAACGCTCCAACATGAAATGGAATGCTTTTAAATACACAACACAATATGTATATAAATATATTGAAAAAGCTTTTGTAACCGTTACAAGAAGACTAAACATTTTTCATCGAGTTGTTGAAATATATCAGTAATATATTAAATATATTAAACTGAGCATAAAGGTCACTACCAGCTGATCAATAGAAGATTACTGAAATTTTAAAAAATTAGATTCATCCACTTGACCTCCTCTTAAGTTTTCTTTCATGTTTTACAAGATTAAGATCCCATCCTTTCTAATGACTTCGTGTTAATTATTTTGCTGGCTTTTTTTCATCGGAATGGAAAGTGAAACATAAAATAAATAATGCAGCAATCTGTGAACTTCTTGTTAAATCACTTTAATTAGGTGAAATTTGTATTTACTTTTACCCAATCTTTCATTTACATTCATGCATTTAAAATAAATTTTTTAATCAGTAATTCGCTTGCGATTTTGCAGCGTTGTGATTTTTATATATCAAATAAAATGCTTATCGATTGTATTTTTTACCTGAACTCTTAAAAGGAAACCATCACCATATCTTGCAAATCATCATCGAAAAAAAGTCGGAAAAATTTAAAAAAGATGAAACTGCTCACTTTCCCAACTTTGTTCATTGATTCATTTTTCAGTGCACAAGCGATATTTGTTTGTAAAATAGTAAAATTCTTCATATAAATAACTTTGAACTAATATAACTTGGAGGCCAAATTTCGCTTCAGAATAAAATTTAGATTCTTGGAAGTCCCTGGTTACAACAAAGAGTACAGGAAGAGTAGACTTAAAACACAGTAGTCCAAACCAAAATATAATTCGTAAGCTTCTGTAGATGCAGTGAACAGGAAGTTTAAAGCATGAAAACGTAATCGTTAAGTAAAATGGGCGGATGAAATGAAGTAAAGTAGTATTCAAAAAATGAATGGTGCAAAGTTTGTCGGTAAGTGATGTTTAGATGATTACTTTTGCCACGAAAAAATAGAAAGTCTGTATAAAAAATGGATTTTCAAGAAAGAATGATAGTCGTAGATTTTTATTTGCTAAAAGGCTTTTGTGAGGTTCAAAAAGTGGGTGAAAAATGTTGGTGCCAACGATTTCTCAGAGAGCTATCATTCGCATTCTTGTAGTGATCATTTGCTAATTTAAAACAAATGATTTCCATCCACCATCTCATATTTACTGCTTTTATTCAGATCAAACTTTGTATGATATTAAAAATATAGAAACGTAGTGTTCTTCATAATCAATTTCAAATTCCTTAGAATCATTATCTTAAGAGTAATCAAAAATACAAATTTTTTTCACTTATTTTTGCACTTTGAAGATGATCAATTATTGCTGCTAACATGAAAAGTTGAATTTCCGTGCACCAAAATTTTTTTTCGAAAATGTTGGTAAACAGAAACTTTTATAACAGTGACGGAAACTGTTTAAAACAAAACAAGTATAAGATCTCGTAAATATGCAGTGCATTTCCTAAGTATACAAAGGAAAGACTATGAACACAAGCTTCAAATTTGACCAAAATGTTAGTTAGATTTTGCGCAACCACAATCATGATCATAATGCTGAATATCTTTAGCATTATAGTTTTATCAAGATATCAAGATATTAATCACCAATCAGTTTCGTAGCTCATTATTTGTTTTAATGGGCAAAAATTACTTTTTCACACAGAATTTATTCTTACGTAATTCTTTTTGAAAACCGAATAAAACAACTACTTTATTTCGTATTAAAATTTACTTGGAAAATTTTTTGCTCAGAAGAAACATACATCAAAAACCAATATGCATTAGGGTCTGAATTGCTCAGCAAATTTTTGTACTTGATTTGAATTCTCGACAGAAATTTTATTGATGCTTACAAGGAATTAAAATAAGTTTAAGAAATTTTGCTTTTTTCATGTCGGCAAAAATGCCTGCGATTAGTTCTGGCCGCAAAAAAAATATCAAATAATTTGCTGCAAGTGTAAATATTAATTATATTTAATAACATGCACAAATAATAGCAGCAATAATTCAACTAACTGAAAATGGAATTTATTCACGTACAGTATAAAAATGCAAAGTGCTTAAAATTAAAAAAGCAAAGGAATAGACAAGTATTAACTTGATTACTTTTTAAAAGTTGGTATTTAGAATAAAAATTTATGATAGCATTTCAATCATTTGTACTAACTATTGTTTAGTTTCCAACAATTATTTCCAAACTAATGAAAAAGTTGTAACAATTGGGATCTAGAATGCTTCTTTCCATTCGAAATTCAAAAAAAGTCTAATTGCTACTTATTACAAAGGACTGAAATTTGAAAAAACGAAGAAAAAAGTGCAGTTTTCCCTAGTACTTTTCATTTTTAATATTACTCTTTTTATTATGTTACTGATTTCAAAAAGATATGTGCAGAATAAGAAATACTGAGGTTTCTTTTTTGAAATAAAACTTTTTTTT